TTTCAGGGGTTCATCCAGCCTCCATGGCTCCAGAAAGCCTAGAGTCCATGAGAGTTTGAAACTCCGTTCTGCATTTTCCACCTTTTCATCAGGACTTTTCTGTAGAATCTCTGATCGAAATGTCTTCTGGTCTCCTGGCAAAGGAAGCTGTTGTTCACGGAGGCAATTAGCCACACATTCCCTTCCTCCTCCTATTCCTGACTCTCCTTCTTTCTCTGTTGCTCCAGGTGAATGCAGACCAATTGCTGCACCTTGGCTGGCAGCCTGCAGGCATGACCACAGGCTTGATGCAATGAACTAGGAGGTGGAACAAAAGCATTAAACACATTATTAAGCCAATTAACTGGTCCATGAAACCAGGACCCTAAACTTTCAAACCAAGAAACTAAATCCCATGAAGTATTTGGTTTTACATAAGCAGCCTTAGCAGCTATTCTTTTTTGTTCTTGTAAACGTATCTATCACATGACTTTTGCCAATTCAACTTTTTACAGGTGTACAACTTACTGACAGAAATTACATTAATTGGATGTGCAACCCTACCCTTAATCAATGCAATTTTTCATCACCATAAACTGATACTCAGTACTCCATAAGCAGTAACCCCTCCTTTCCCTCCTTACCACCCCTGTCAACCATCATTTGCCTGTTCTTGTCTTTTTATATAAGTGAGGTCATACAATATTTGTCTTTTTGTGATTGACTGTTTCACTCAGAATAATGTCTTCAAGCTCCATGCCCATTGTAGAATGGATCAAGACTTCATTTCTCTTCCTGGCTGAGTAGTATTCCATTATCATCATCTCTTGTCTTGACAACTCTAATGGCATCCTTCACTGGTCTCCCTGATTACTCTTACTTTCCCCCAATTCATTCTCAACACAGCAAGCAGCCAGAGGGTTTTCTTAATACTTCAAGTAAAATTTAAATTAAAATAAAATTCAAGGCTCTACTACTTCTTTAACACCATACCCAACCACCATCCCCCTTCCCACACTAGAATTCATTTTGTCTTTAGAACATGCCAAGCCTTTCCATTGGTTGTTTTCTCGACTTAGAACTCTCTTCACCCTGACTTTTGCTCAGTTTAAATGTCACTTTCTCAAAGACAAGTATCAGAAAACCCAACTAAAAGTGATTTACCAATTGAGGGACGTATTATCTTATATAACCAGAATCCCTATTAAGGTATTTCTGGAAGTGTAAGGTAAGTGGTTACACGATGCCATCAAGGATCCAGGTACTTACTGATCTGCCATTCTCAGCCTGGGCTAATTTTTCTCACAACCCTATCCTAACATGCCAACATCTAGAGGTAGAAACATCCTGTGTCTTTTTTTTTTTAAGAACTAAGAACCTTTCCCTGGGGGCTCTGGTAGCGTAGTGCCTAAGGCACTTGACTGCTAACCAGAAGGCTGGTGGTTCAAACCCACCAGCCACTCCTCGGAAGGAAGATGGGGCAATCTACTTCCGTAGTGATACCGACTCGGAAACCCAAGGAGGGATCGCTATGAGTCGGGTCCAACTCAATGGCACATAACAACAACAACAACAACAACAAGAACCTTTTCCAGAAATCTCTATCAGACTTTCTCTTACTTATCATTGTCAAGAACTAGACCAATGCTCACCAATGGCCAAGGCAAGAAGACCACCATGATCAGAACAATCAAGTGGGAGAGGGATTGACCCCAGAACAAAATCATGGTCGTGTAAAAATGGAGAAATGGAAAAGATACTTAAATGGGTAACCCACAGTATCTACCAGATCTCTCTTGGACCATGTAATCTAAAGTTGCCCCCATCACTTTCCATAGAGTTTAAAATATCATAAAATTTAAAATTTTTCATCATATACTTATTATCTGAGGCAATATAGTGTAGTGTGCTTAATAACACAAACTCCAAAGTCAAACTGCCTAGATATGAAACCTCACTAGATACTGATTTTGTTTGTTTAGAATTTTATTTATTTTTGGTGTCAACATACACAACCAAAACCACATCCATTCACAGTTTCTACATGAACAGTTCTGTAACGTTGGTTACACACTTCACATCGTGGCACCATTCTATCTCTACCCATATTGTTTCTCTCTCTTTAAAAAAAAAAAAAAAAAAACCTTTTTATTGTGATTTGGGTGAAGGTTACAGAGCCCATCGGCTTTCCATTGAACCATTCATACGCACTGTTTGGTGACACTGACTGCAATCCTCACCACGACCTATCAGCGCTCTTCCCACCTCCTCCCTGTGTTTATGGTTCCTTAGTCCTTCTTTCCTATTCCTTCCTGCCTTCTGAGCTTTATCCCTGGGCAAATGCTACCCTTTTTGATCTTGTATGGATGTTCTCAAAAGTAGTACCTCCCTGGTGTTACTATTCAGCTTATAGACCTGTCTTGTTTCGCTGAAGTTGGGCCACGGCAATGAGTTCAGCTCTAGGCTTGAATGGTATGTGTCTAAAGGTTATAATTTTGGAGGTTCCACCAGTCTGCATCAGATCAGAAAGCCTAGTCTTTTTTAAGATTTTGAGTCTCGTTTTACATTTTTCTCCACTCTGTCCAGGACATCATATTGTGATCCCTTTCAGAGGGGCCCCAGTGGTAGCCAGTCATCGTCTAGTTTTTCTGGTCTCAAGGTCAACTCATATTGTTTCATCACCATTAATTTAGACTCTCTGTCTCTTAGCATTCTCATCTGTGCATTAGATTAACTATTGTCAGTTTACACTCATGTGTTCTTTGTAAGAGCACTATGCTTAGGCAAACATTCTTCATTAGTCGGACTAAGCTCTTGTTTAGTTTAATGATGGCTTCATGGGATAGTTTCAGACCTAGATATTGATCTTGATTAAGTTACTTAACCTCTCATTTACTTATCTTTAAAGTGGGAACAATGATAATATTACCTTTCTCACAAGGTTTTGGGAGCTCTGGTAGCATAGAGGCTAAGGCACTTAACTGCTAACCAGAAGGCTGGTGGTTCAAACCCACCAGGCACTCCTCCAAAGGAAGATGGGGCAATTTATTTCCTTAGTGATACTGCCTCAGAAACCCAAGGAGGGGTCGCTATGAGTCGGGTCCGACTTGATGGCACATAATAACAACAACACAAGGTTTCTGTATTGCTGGGTTGCCAAGACACCAGGACAGGGAGTTGTTTCAGAGAAGCAGTTTATTAGCGCTCCTGGGCAAGGTTCTCGTGCCCTAGCATCAAGGCCAGAGAAGTCGCACACCCAGGCAGTGGGGATAGATTCTTATAGACACAAAGAGGACCTAACTGGGGACACTAAGGAAATGGTGGGTTCCAATAAGCTGTTGGCACGGGTCTGCACCTAATTAGCATGAGGGGGCTTCACCGGAGGAAGTTTGTCATCACGTGGGACTTTCCAGCCTGGGCGAGTTTTATAAGGTTGTCTCATCAGGACCTAACACCTAGAGGAAGTTGCTAACTGAAATGTTGGTGGTTTGAGTTTACTCTGGCCTAACAGTTTCTACAAGGATTGTATGAAAATATACGTAAAATGCTTAAAACAGCTATTCTAGTTGTGATTCGTTACTGAGGCCCAGGTATATCCTAGGGACACTCTCAAAAACTAAACCAAACTCACTGCCATCTAGTCGATTCTGACTCATAGCAGCCTCCATTGGGTTTCCAAGGTGGTAAATCTTTACGGTTACGGGAGTAGATTGTTCTGTCTTCCTTCTGCGGAGCAGCTGGTGGATTTGAACTGCCAACCTTCCAGTTAGCAGTCAAATGCCTCAGGCACTACACTATCAGAGTTCCTTAGGGACACTCTAGTCTCTTTGTAATAAATCCTCCTTTCTTGCATAAACCAGTTCAAACTTGTTTCTGTTGCTTGCACTCAATTTTAACTACAGAATTGTATAAATATACCTCAATGTACCCATTATCTGTTGATGGCTATCTGATTTATTTTGGACTGCCACAACTTTGGGATCTTAATTTCTAAAATCTGACTCTCTACTCTTTCCTCCACTTTCTTATTCTTTCACTGCTATCATACCCAAGCCTCTTCAAACTCCTGGAGAACAGACATAGTGGCCCTTTGTAGACAAATCTGAAAAGCTGGACTGCATGAAGAACACAGAAACAAGATTGGAGGAAGACTCTAACAACCTGTGACATGCAGATGACACAGCCGTGCTTGCTGAAAGTGAAGATGATGTAAAGCACTTGCTGATGACAATCAAGGACCACAGCCTTCAGTGTGGATTACACTTCAACATAAAGAAAACAAAAATCCTAGCAACTGGACCAATAGGCAACATCATGATAAACAGAGAAAAAGACTGAAGTTGTCAAGGATGTGATATGTGGGGGGCAGTGATTTACGAGGTTGGAGACATGCGCAGAGGACAGACAATCTGTAATCTGAGGGCAGGGGGAGGACCCATTGATTTCCTCCTTTTAGAGCACGGACGGGGGCTAACTCCTTCCAAACAGGTAGCAGCTGGGGTGGAAGCTGAAGTGGGACTAAACACCTGTCTGATCTTGAACTGCTCTTTCTCTTCAATCTCATCCATGCAGTGTGGTGGCAGGTCCAGGGCATCCTCAGTGTTCTCAAGCCCTCACAGACCCAAGGGCTGCTTTCTGGGATTCTCCACGCAAGCCCCCACCCACTTCGCTTTAGCGCCATCTGGCGCTCACAGAGGAAGTAATGCGCCTGCGCCCTCCCTTCCCCCTCCCCCTGCCCTTTCTCTTTGTCTCTTTCCCTTGTACCTGTATCTTTAAGATGCTTGGCCAAGACGGAAGAATTCGAGCGCCGGAGCCTGGAAGCGCCCTTTTGAAGCTCCTTCAGATTGGTCCAGCCTGGATAAGGGGCGGGCCGTAGCTAACGGAACAGGTGTCATTGGTCTTCCCTCCAGCTCCGCCCCGTAAAGCAACCCATAGCGCCCATGATTGGTCAAAGGCTCTGCAGGCTTGGCGCCTGGCGCGGGGTTCTGCAGCGCAGTCAGGGCTGTAGCAGGGTGGGCGCCATGTCCAGTGTTGGTGGGGACGCTAGTGGAGGGAAAGGAGGCGAGGGTGCTGTCTCGAACGGCCCGTTCAGCTTCAGCCCGGAACCCACGCTCGAGGACATGTAAGCCATCCTTGCCCATCCCAGGCTGGCGAGATCGTCTCCTTTCTCCCTCCTATTGGTGGGGGCCCTACACGTGGCTAGGAAGAAGCCTAGCAGTGGTGCTCGAGTCTGCTGGCCGACCTCGGGCGAGACTTTTAAGCTCACCTGCAAACTGGGCGCAGCAATGCACACCTGAGGCTAGGGGAATTGGGTGGCGTTCCGTGAGTAATACTAGGACCACCCTTCTTCCTAGGCCTGGGGAGATACGGGAGTCGGGCAGTGCCTCTGCCATCCGAGTGAGTGGTAGGACAGGGGCCGGTAAAGTGCTGAGAAGTGGGAGGGGTTCTTTCTTGCTGGAGCAAACCAGGATTGCTTCTTAGGGGTGGCCCTGAAGCCGCGCTCCGTAAGATAGTTGAGATTTAGAACGACGTTCCAGGGAGAGAACGATACTGAAGCAGCAGCAGGAAGCGGAATAGTAAGAGATTTTGGTTAGAGTTTAGGGTGTGTGTAGGGACGCAGCATTTTATGAGGAAACCACGTCCCATAGAGATGGACTTCCCCGAGTCCATCCAGGGAATTAGTTGCAGAGTCCTTGATGCCCGTGTCCCCATTACGTATTACTGGGTTGCCTGCCTTGGCTGTGTTTCCCCCTCCCTCACTCCCTAGCCCCTAGATTCCTAGGCTTCCACCCGTTTTTCCTATTCCAGCCGCCGCCTCCATGCTGAGTTTGCTGCTGAGCGAGACTGGGACCAGTTCCATCAGCCTCGGAACCTCCTCCTGGCCTTGGTGGGGGAAGTAGGGGAGCTGGCAGAGCTCTTGTGAGTAACTGGAAGACTTCCTGGAAGAGGTGGGGACGCAGAAGGAAGCAGGATTACCAAACATGAATGGATTTGACTTACTGCCAGGCTCTGTCTCATCCTGGGGATACAGAGATGAGTCACCAAGTCCTTGCCCTCTAGGGGTATGTGAAAATAGCGGGGCTGATCCAGGTCTGAGAAGGGATGTTGGCAACAGCCCTCTACCTCTCCCTCTGGGATGGGAAGGAAGGTATTCTGTAGAAGACCTGCCTATAGCGTTCCAGAGAGGGGCGACTACATTTGCAAAGGAAGTGAGGCAAAAAAGGACAAGTTAAATTCCAGGAGAATCGGATACTTAAGTGTAAACAAGAGCAAGGATTTGTATGTTTTGTTCTGTGGTGTCCAAATGTCTGGCACAAAATAAACGCTCATATACCTATTGAATAGTGCTAGGGCTGTGGACAAAGGGATGGGAGATGAACCCCATAGGATTGGGCTAGTAAGTGATGGACTTTGGACAGGGGACCCTGACCAGATGTGGGTGGTAGAAAGACCACATCTGTAGCACTGACTGGATCACAAAGAGAAGGGGGCAGGGGAGACCAAGCAAGAGATGGTGAGGCCTAGACCAGGGCAGCGGCTGGGGCTGGAGAAATGACACAGGTGTGTGTATGTGATTTGTGTGCACGTGTATGCAAGCCATTCCTTCACAGCTTTGCGGGCATCACCTGTGTGCTAGGTCTTCTAAACTCAAGAGACATGATCTTGAGTAAGACATATATAGCCCCTGCCTTCATACAACTGACGTTTTAGTGGGAGGAGACTGACAATGATTTTAAAAGGCCGGGAATTGTGACAAGTGCTATGAGAGAAATAATACATAGTGATGAGAGACTGTACTGGGGAAGGAGATGACTTTTCTGAGGAGGTGACATCTGAGACCTGAATAACAGGAAGGAGCCAGCAATGGGAGAAACTGAGAGTGGCCATTTGAAGTAGCAGGAACAGAGTGGAAAGGCCTTGGGACAGCTTAGTGTGTGTGAGACACAGAAAAGAATGGCTTTAGGTGGGGAGGGAGTGTGATGGATAGTGACATTGGAAGAGGCAGGGGTTATGCAGGGCCTGGAGGGGTGTGGTCAGGGGTTTGGATTTTATTCCAAGCACATTTGGGGGAGGGGTTTAGCAAGAGAGGGGCAAAATGTAATTTGCTTTTAAAAGATGGCACAGTGCCCAAAAAAAGGGGGGGGGGATGAGTTCAGTACTTCAGACCTGAGGCTTAGTGAAGCCAATAGTGGTTGTTGTTATGTGCCCCCAAGTCGGACCCGACTCATAGCGACCCCTCCTTGGGTTTCCGAGGCAGTATCACTATGGAAGTAGATTGCCCCATCTTCCTTCTGAGGAGCAGCTGGTGGGTTTGAACCACCAGCCTTCCGGTTAGCAGACAAGTGCCTTAGGTACTACACTATCAGTTCCTACAACAGTGGTAGTAGCTCTGGAAAGGAGTGGAATTGGGTCTCAAAGCTTTGAACAAGGCAAATGTTCTTGTCTGTTCCCTGACTCAGGTAGGGACCCCGAGGTCTGGGTGGATCGTGTGTTGGCGTCTCTTCCCCATCCCAACTTGGCTCAGAGGGGTTGGATGACCTTGCAGGAACTTCTTGAGGGTGACCAAGTGCATCTCTGCAAGGACTGAGGTGCTCCTGGGGCAGCACCCGCTGTGCTAACTAGCATCTTTGTGTGTGTGTCTGTTCTGTCCCCCAGTCAGTGGAAGCCTGATGAGCTGGGACCCCAAGCTTGGTCTACCAAGGAGCGGGCAGCCCTACAGGAGGAGCTTAGTGACGTCCTCATCTATTTGGTGGCATTGGCAGCCCGCTGCCGGGTGGATTTGCCCCAAGCAGTGCTCTCCAAGATGGACACCAACCGGCAACGTTACCCAGCGCATCTGTCTCGGGGCTCTTCCTGCAAGTATACGGACTTGCCCCATGGGGCTGTCTCTGAAACCCAGACAGTGGGACCTACAGACCTTGTCCATGAGTCCACAGGCCAGGCCTCCACGTAAAGACGTGGGCACAGGACCTGCAACTCAGCAGAGAATCTGAGGAGCGAAGTGTGGCACGGTCACAGAACTCTTCTGGCCCTTTCCTAGCAGGTCATGAGCCTGAGGACCCCACTTCCTGAGTGCTGAGGCCCAGGGACCTCCAGAAAACAGCCTCCTTGCTTTCTCTCCCAATAAAAGTTTTCAGCAGCAATCTGTTTTTTTTCCTGGGGCAGCCAGGGAAGCTGTGTTTTCAGGTGCTTGAAAGGGGCACCAGGGTTATTTCTGAACCCCTCAAGTCCCATACTTCTCTATCATTGCCTCCTGCCAGGCAGAGGAATTTGGTTTCTAGAACGGTCCTAAGTCTCCTTTCAGGGTCTGTAAAGGAGGTTGTATGTAGGATGTTTAGAGGATGAAGATGAGCAGGTATTTTTACCTAATGAAGCACTTTAACATAGCGCCATAAAGTTTCAACTGTTGCCTGTCACCATCCCTTCGTGAAGGGCTGTTTATGGGCCCGTCCACGTGTGTGGAATAACACCCCACACGCACGCACACAGCCAGCTCCAGGAAACACTTGGGATTTATGACAACTCATTACCTAAAACGTGCAGAAAATGCCGGCCTTCCTCCTCCTCTCCCCACCTACCTCACTCACAGGCACGGGTGGGGTGAGGATATAATACTTTATTCACTAACACGGCCGAGGGGTTGTAGTGAAAGGGAGGTGGGTAGTTCCCAGGAGCCCCGTCGGGGATTCTCCCTCCCTCAATTCCAAGGCAGCCAGGCCGGCTTTCCCAAGCCCCTGGTGCTACAGAGGATTGTCCAAGTTAATGCAGCCTCCAGGTCGAGGCCCCAGCGTGCCCCACCCCAGCCAAACGCTTGCAGCCCTGAAGCAACAGGGACGGCTGCTCAGCTGCCTTCGCATTCGGGACAGCGCTCTGTGGCATTAGCCGCCGTGGCGCCAGCGGGTAGCTTGAAGTCCCGGCCGCACCCGGCGCAGATAAACAAGCGGCGCCGCATGTGCGCGCGCCGGTGCCGGATGAAGTGCGAGCTGAGGCGGAAACGCCGGCCGCACTCGGAGCACGGGTAGGGCCGCTCGCCCGTATGCGTGCGCGCATGCTCCGCCAAGTTGGAACGGTGGCCGAAGCCGCGACCGCACACGGAGCAGCGGTGCGGTTTCTCGCCCGTGTGCACCCGCTTGTGCTTGGCCAGCGCAGAGCTCTGCGCAAAGCGCGTGCCGCAGTCGGCGCATGCGTACGGCCGCTCGCCCGTGTGCGTGCGTCGGTGGCGCGCCAGGCACGAACTGCCGCCGAAGGCGCGCCCGCAGTCCGGGCACGCGTACGGCTTCTCGCCCGTGTGCACGCGCAGATGCTGTGCGTAGTTGGAGCTCTGCGCGAAGCGGCGACCGCAGTGCGCGCATGCGTACGGCTTCTCGCCGGTGTGGCGCCGCCGGTGTTGCCGCAGGTTTGAGGCCGCCGAGAAGCGCTTGTCGCACTCGGGGCACTCGTAGGGCCGTTCGCCCGTGTGTGTGCGGCCATGTTTAGTCAGCGCCGACTTCTGCGAGAAGCGACGGCCGCACTCGGTGCACACGAAAGGCCGTTCGCCCGTGTGCGTGCGTGTGTGCTTGGCCAGCGTAGAGCGGCGCGCGAATGCGCGGCCGCAATCCGAGCACGCGTGTGGGCGTGCCGGGTCGGCAGATGGCGCGGGCGCCTCGCTCGGGACCTGCGGGGAAAGGGAGGGACAGGTCAGCCCTGACGGATAGGCCCCGGAACCAGAGACCTCGGTCTCTGCAGAGCTGCAATCTCTCTGAGCCTCACTTCCCCCTTTGTAAAACAGTAAAAGTAACGGTGCCTGCCCCAGAGGCACCGCATTAAATGAATAAAATGCAATCCTCGTTTCACAATGCCAGTGGGTACTTGGGTGCTCTAAGATTAGCTATTCTTTATTAACTAAACAAATATTCATTGACCGCGTACAATGTCCCAGACCCACTGCCATCGAGTCGATTCTGACTCACAGCGACACCCCCTCTTTGGTTTCCTCGGTGATAAATTCTTACGGAAGTAGATTGGCCAGTCTTCCCTCCGCGTTTGACTGGTGGGTTTGAACCACCAACCTTCTGGTTAGCAGTCAAATGCACTGCACTACCAGAGCTCCTTGTTTTAAGCACAGGGAATTCAGCATTGAATAAAAAAAATTTTTAAAAATTCCTGCTTTCAAAACATTGCTCCATTCTTGGTCACAGCCAGCTACCTACAGAGACCGAGTAGTTGAACTGGTGGACTTGGGACCATAGTCGCAGGGGACATCAAGCACAAGTGGCACTATATACTACATTGTTCCACCTCCTCCTTTGGTGAGTAGCAACTAGGATCTTAAAAGCTTGCAAGCAGCCATCTAGATGCAATGATGGGTCTCTCCTTGTCCACAGCAAAGAAGAATGAAGAAAACCAAAGATGCATGGAAACAATTAGTCCTGGCAACTGTCACCATGCCATCCGCAGCCTATACAACTATGAGACCAGAAGAGCTAGATGGTGCCCAGCTACCACAGTCAACCACTCGGAGAGGGAATCTATGTAGGAGATCCTGGATAGAGTGGGAGAACAATGTGGAATGAAACTCAAAATCATTTGGGGGAAAAAAAAAAAAAAAAAAACGGGGAGACCAGGTTTGCTGGTCCGATAGAGCTTGGTGGAACCACTGAGACTATGGCCCCTGGCTGCCCTTCAGGTCTGGAATTGAACCCACACCTGTGGCTTCCAGCCAAACAAAAGACAGGCATATGAGCTGAACATTTACCTGAGGTAGATATACTCCTTGGAGAGAACAATCATGGGAGAAAGAAGGGCTGTTTATGCTCAGAGAGACAGCTCAGGGGACAGGAGTACATGGAGGGATAGACACAGGAAAGAGGTAACCATTGGGAGGAAGTGGTAGGGGAGCTGTTGCATTGGGGTAAATTGTGGTCAATGTCATGAGACAACATGTGTGTGAACTGCTGAATGGAAAGTGAATTTGCTCTGTAAACTTTACCCAAATCACAAAAAAAAAAAAAAAAAAAAATCCCTGCTTTCAAGACAGGTGGATAGGGTTTGGAGGATGCTGCAAATTGAAATAGCATTGTCAAAAAACATTACTGATATAGTAACGTGAGCAAAGACCAAAAGGGGGTGAGCGACTGAACTATAGGAAATTCCTGGACAGCAGGGGGACCTGTAGGGTCCTGAAGCAGGACTTTACCTATTGAATTCCAAGAAGGGCAAGAGAAAGTACCTACAGCACAATGTGTGAGGGGAGCGTGAACAAGGGCACTGTGGGGGCATTGCTTTGCTTAGGGGCTTGGTGACCACAGTGAGGACTTTGGCTTTTAAGAAATGAGATGGAAAGACATTAGAAGAGATATGAGCAGGGAAGTGACCACATCAGACTTGTATTTTAAAAGGCTCCCTCAGACTGCTGGGCTCAAGGACTGTAAGAGGAGCGATGCCGGCAGCAGGTTCATACAGCAAGAGAAGACTCCAACTCAGGTGACAGAGATGGACACAGAGGTGGTGAGAAGCGGCTGTCATCTGGATATATTTTGGTTTAAGACAACAGGTTTGATAAAAGATTAGATGTAGTGGCAAAGAAAGGAGTTAAGAGAACGTCAAGGTTTTTGATCTTAACAACTGAACAGGGGAAGTTACCATTTACAGAGATGAGGATGACAGTAGGAGGAACAAGTTGGGGGGTAAGATCCGTTTTGAGCTTCTACACCCAGTTCTCCTGGACACATCTGGAGCTCAGAGGAGAGGCCTCAGCCAGAGATGTGAACTGGGGTGCCATGAGCCTAGAGAGGGTTTGTAAAGCCCTGAGACTGGAGGTGACCATCCCAGAAAAGGGCACAGAGAACCCCGTGCAGCAAGAGGAGACTGAACAGGAGGCAGGAAAGCCAGGTGAGCAGCGCAGGCATGGGATGGGGTGGGGGGTGATGGAAGCCAGCCTGGACCAAGTCCAATCTCTTACATAAAAGTTTTAAGAGCAAGCACCTACCATTTTTTTCAACTGTGAAGTAAAAAAGGCAAGGGAAAAATCCAAATGTTATTCTGAGGCCTGAAATGACAAATAATGAAAATAAGCCTGTTTCCTGAGGCCTGAGCTTCTACTGATAAAACAGAGAGAAAATCAGAAGGAAAGAAATGTTTTGTAAGAGCCAAGTGAGAGGAAAATATTTTGTACCCAGAGGAGAGTGAAGAGGAATGTTGAGAGCACATTGCCCCCTTCTTAGAAAAGTGAACAATTCATTCCAGCAAACTAATAGTTCAGTATCTACTGGGGGCCAAGCTATTAACTACATTAAATCACAACCAAACACCTGCGTATTAGGGACAAGACAGTGTTCGCTTCTCCAGATGTTTGATCTTCACTATCTCCATTTTACACATAAGGACAGGTTCAGAGAGGGTAAGTGGCAGCAAGGGAGCAGTAGGGGCCAAACGCAAAGAGCTCTGACACCAAGAACAGAGGGGACGATCAGGTTAGGGGAGTCCCGGGAACCCTTTCAGGCCTGAGGGAGCTGTTAAAGAATTATAGGTACTCCTCAACTTAGGATACATCCTGGAATTCAGAAGAACTGTGCTTACAACCACCTATTTCTGCGTATGTGTCTGTTTCACATCTTATCCTTAGAAATGCGTACTATATACAACATTTTTTCAACTGTGAAGCAGTTACAGCTGCATGTAATTTGCTGATGTCATCATTCCTAGATGTTTAGTCACAGATGTTCAAAGATCAGATTTACAAAGATACCATAAAAGGCAGTAATAATGAAAACTTAAAAAAAAAAAAGGTACTCTACTTACGTCAGAACCAACTTACGACGGAGTCCTCAAACGGAACTCCGCTGTAAGTCAAGGACTACCTGTACTGTCTTCTGCTTCTGAGGCGCAAGGAGGGAAAGGCTGACCACACCTTCAAGGGTCTTTGTGAAAAGGTAGTGGCTTGGTGGTAACCACCTCAATTGGAAAACAGAGCAATTAGGAAATTGGAGACCAACCAAGGGGACGCTGGTTGAAACAGTGCATCTATCGATAATAGTGATGAATCAACAGTCCAGGGTTAAGCTTTGATAACACTATTCTGTGTACATTATTATAGTAAATCCTCCTATGACCTCTCTGGGTCAGGTGGTGTTATCCCTTTTGACATTTCAGAAACCTGAGGCTAAGCGAGGTTAAATCCACATTGCCAGTGGTTTGCCTCAAGGTTGACTCTAGATGTAACCTTAACCCGTAGGTTCTAATGCTTCCTTATACTAACACAGCTAGACTCCAAGTCCCCAGCTCTCTCCAAAGGGATTCAAGGTTAAACTACAACTTGATACTTTCAATCAAGAAACTCCCTACAGATGGTCTGGCTGGATTCAAGGTCATACTTTCCAGTCTTGCCCTAGTTTTGATATCTGCCGGATTTACTTCAAGACATCAGCCACTTCAGAGAGACCTTTGGTCATTATACATACATTTCCTTGGCCTGTTTTCCCTTGGCACCCTTATTTAAGACGATTTTAGCCAACCTGAGGACTTCTCCTCATGCCTGTGTTCACTAACTTAAGAGAAAGAAATTCTTCACACAAACACCCTTTACCTCTCCAGCTTAGGAAGACGGGACTTTGGGCACCCGGTGAAAACATCTTTGGAAGAGGGGCTGAGTCCAGCCCAGTAACTCCTTAGGCGAGTCACTCCCTCCCCCTGACCTCAGTGTCTTGAGGAAGGTCAGGCAGGCTGGACAAGATCAGCACTGCCCAACTTGAGGTACGCACACTGCAAGATGCAAGTGGATTCTAGATAGCATGGGGGCAAACTTTTATCTTCTTAGAACCATTATGTGTTTATTTTCACGGATATTAGAAAAACATTAGATCACATCACACCCACCATTTCATCGATATTATTGTTGCAATGAAGGTAAATCTATTTAACAATGTGAATCTATTCCAAGCATTAAATAAGTAATCTAAGTACAACATATGAGCAATATATATGTGACTGAAACATGGCAAGTGCCAGATTACATGATCGTTAACAGCCCTTCCCTTTGCCATTGAGTTGACACAACTCACAGCAACCCCTCTAGGACAGAGTAGAACTGCCCCGTAGGATTTCTATGGCTGTCAATCATTATGGAAGCACACTGCCACCTCCCATGGAGCAGTTAGTAGGGCTGGTGACTTCCAACCACTGACCTCTCAGCAGCCCAATGCTTAACCACTCTGCCCCCAGGGCTCCTTCTTAAAGACCCTTCCATGTCTCAAATCCTACACCTATTTGATTTAAAAATTGGAATGAATGACATTTGTACTGTAGCAAGAAGGTACTGTGGCAATACAATGTAGTGTAACAATAATCATCCACGTATCTGATGTTTGTAACTTCAGCTTCCTGCTTAACTATTTTTTTAAACTCTTCTCTTCTACTGGTAACTGTTCTAATTAATAATAACAGTAACATTATTGTTACTGTTACCAATAACATTTCTTGAGCAGTTACTATGTGCCAGGATCTGTGCTAAGTGCCTTTTCATATGTGTTCTCATTTTGGGGGTTGGATATCATTAGTCTGATTTTACAGATAAGCAAATAGACTTAGAAGTGACGTTACTCTCCAAAGCCACACATCCAATAAATGGCAGAGCCAGAATTTAAACTGAAAGTCTGTCATTGTCTGAACCACTCAGGTTCTTAACCATCATGCAATTCTGTCTCATTGACTAGAGTTTGAAGTCAGTCACCTGCACAGCTTGTCTCCCCTCCCCTGGACCCTCTTAGCTGTTAGTGTCCTTTCTTTTTGGAATAATATACAAAACATACTCCCTTACTACAGAAGCGTGGTCCACAGACTGGCAACATCAGCATCACTGTGAACTTGTTAGACACACAGAAACCTGGGCCCCAGCCCAGACCTACGGATCTTCCTTTCAACAAGATTCCCCCATAAGAGACTGCCACATCTCTTTTCCATAGAGCCCCGAGTAGGTTCAAACCACCAATCTTTTGGTTAGCAGCTGACCGCTTTAACCACTGCACCACCAGGGTTGCTAGTGACATGCATACGTGTTAAAAATGAACAAACACTGATCTAGCAAAGAGAAGAACTCCCAGCTGAGTGCTTAACAGTGTGCACCACCAGGGATCCTTACTCCCAGAGAACACAGGCAGAGAAAGTAGAGAGGATCTTACAAGCTGGGAGACCCCATGGGATGGGGGGGCGAATGATTAGAGATGAAGCCAGAATGACATGGGGTCAGATGGTGAAGACCTTTGAATGCCAGGCTTAGGAGCTGAGGTTTTATGCTGAGGGAAACAGAAAACCACTCAAAAGTGTCAAGTGAGAGACAAGACTGGACGTATGTAGAGCCTTCCAAGAAAATCCTTTTGTTCGTTAAAGATCAACTGGATTTTCACAGACATAGGGAGTCCTCCAGGCCTCTTTCTGGAGAGTAATTGGCCACGGGCCTGGATGATGGCGAAGGGCCACAGGATGTTAGCACTGGAGGGACCTTTTGAGACCACTTCACAGATGGGAAACTGAGACTCAGGCCACGAAGCAAATGACTGAGCTACCTGTGGTCACCAGGCTACACGGTGACAGGGTGTGTGTGTGGGGGGGGGTCCTCAACGCCACCCTCCTCCAAATCCAATCATCCAGATGACACTTCTTAGACTGGCATTGAAGCATTGTATTTTCAGGATCCCATTTTACAAATGAGAAAGCTGAGGCAAAGCTGATGCATTTAGTGGAGTCAGAATTTAGAGTTTGGTCCCATGTACCCTGTATGACTAGCCATGCCTGCCCCAGCCATACCCCACCCTCCAACACACACATCCCCAGCTCCAGTAAGCCGACTCAGGGTTTCCAGCACATGCCTCCCAAATACCTGCTTCTCTCCAACGCTGCTGCCACTACCTTAGAGCAGGCTACAGCCTCCCTATCTTCCCACAGCAGCCAGTAATTCTTCTGAATGGAATATTCGATCATGCCCCTCCCCTGCTTTAACGCTCCCGATGGCACCATCTAACCTAACCTGTGGCACCTCCAATGTTTTGGTAAGCAGCTGAAACCATGTGTACCACCCAGGGCCTCCGTAACCTAACACCCACCCACCCACTGCCATTGAGTCAATTCCAGCTCATAGCTACCCCCACTGGGTTTCCAAGGCTGCAAATCTTTATGGAAGTAGATTGCCTCATCTTCCTCCCACGGAGCAGCTGGTGGGTTTGAACCGCCGACCTTCTGGTTAGCAACCAAATGCCTTACCCACTACATCACCAAAGTACCTTATAACCTAACACCCACCAAACCCACTGCCAACGAGTTGATTCTGACTCACTGCTACCCCCACTAGGTTTCCAAGGCTGTAAATCTCTAGCAAGGAGATTGCTTCATCTTCCTCCCACGGAGCAGCTGGTGGGTTTGAACCGCCGACCTTCTGGTTAGCAGCCAAAATGCCTTACCCACTATGCCACCAGAGCTCCTTATAACCTAACACAGTGGGTCCAAATTCCTGCCCTGGCTTTCAAGGCCTGTCACTCTCTGGCCCCCCCTACCTTTTCTAGCCTCGTCTCCTCTGAGTTTTTGCTTTTGCTGTTTCTTCCTCCTGAAACGCCCTTTTTTCTCCTCTTCTCCATTTGTCAAATTCCCACTTAGCCTTCAAAGCCCAAGCCAAAAAATTACCTCCATGAAGCCCTCCCCACTGCCTTGATCTGCCTGCCCTCAATCCTCTGCTTAGGTCTCCATGTTGATTTCCCTGCTCACCTCTGGTCCTCAGGGTTCAGCCCAGAAAGACCTTTGATAAAAATGAGTTGAAAAATACCTAAAAGGATGACCTAGCCTAAAGTCCTAAGTTTAGGGAGAAGAATAACTAATAGCAGTAAACGCATAATGTTCACTCTGTGCCAGACACAAGTCTAAGTGCTTTATTGTACTAACAAATCCTTACCACCCCAAGAAGTATAAACTATTAGGATTTCCCTTTTACCAGTGGGGAAACTGAGGCACAACGAGATCAAGCAACTTGCCCGAAGTCACACAGCTGGAAGTGATGGAGTTGGAAGTCTATCCCAGAACACAGTCTGGGCTAGGATGGTGAGCCAGGGAGGCCTGAGACAAACAGAACTAGAGAGTTATTTAGGCTGGAAAAGGAGGCCTGAGGAGCCAGTCCCCTCATCTGGGGCCTGCCACACCCACTAGGGGACAGCAGAATTGTCCTTCCCTGGGAACTGGCCTCTGTGCAGGAAGAAAGCAGGAGTCTGGGCCAGAAACTTGGCCCAGTGGGAGTCCTCCAGCAGGACTCGGCTGCTTGGACTGGGGGTGGCCAGAGTCTTGTGGGAGTGGAAATGTACCTGTGGCACTGTGGGCCTAGAAGAGAAAATATAACTCATATTCTGATCTCCTTAAACGTCACTCCTTAAAAACTCAAACACCCTCAGGATATAACCCAGACTCCCCGGCTGGCCTGCCAACCCCTCTACTCTCCTCTTTGTGACAACAGGACTGAACCACCTGCCCTCACATTTCCAGGTACCACAATCACTCCTCTGACAGTACCTGGAGCAGGCACCCCACTTCACCCCTCAGACTACTTCTAGTCACAGATAAGCCATCCCATTACTAGCTGTGAGACCTTGAGCCAGTTACCAAACCTCTTCAGGCCTCAGTTTCCTCACCTGTGAAATGGGACAAATACTACTCGCATCATAGAACTGAGGTGCTTAGAACAGTGTCTGGTACATAATACACACTCTGCCAGATGGAGCTGTTATTGTTTCCCACTGCTGTTACCACCTTCTGGATGTCTAACCCGCCCTCCCTCCCACCCACCTAAGGCTTCAGTAAGTTCCCACCTCTGGGCTTCTACATCTCCTGTGCCTGGACATATCACAGAGGATTGTAACTACACAACTGTTTGTCATTCTCACCTCACCAGATATTAAACCCCATGGGGAACCAAGGGAATCAAGGATGTAGTTTACTCTCCAGCCGTGAGCACAGTTCCTGTCTATAACATTGTATAATAGTAGCATGAGCACTGAGATAGAAAGATAGGCCAACCCTAAATTCTAGGTTTGAGATTTAGGGGAAGGTTGGGGGCAGGATCCCTGGCTTCTGCATGAGGGAGGCTGGGCCGGGACCAGCTCTGGGAACAATATGACACATACCTCCTTGCTGTCCATGGGAATCTTAAGTTTCACCACCTCATATTTCTCCTCACCCTCATCTTCCTCACCCTTCACCAGCAGCACCATCTCTTCCTGCATCTCCTCCTCCTCCTCTTCATCGGCTTGCTGTTCACCAGGCATCTTGCTGTCCTGGGGTGGGGAGCTGGGTCAGAAGCTCAGGACCCACCCCCACCCCCACCCCCCACCCTGGCCCTGGCCCAGGCAAGGCTGTGCAGCCGTGGCTTCTTCCGCCCTGCCTTGGTCTCCCCTCTCAACATAGCTAGGCCCCACCCCCTGGAACTGTCCGGGATCCAGCTCAGAAGTCAACCTTTCACCCTCTTCATGCCGGCATTCAAGGCCCTGAACAGTTCGAGTCCCCAGCCCCCCCGAGAGTCGTCACCCTCCCCGCGCTGAGTCATTCCCCCGTTCCTGGATCGGCGACTCGGAGCTCTCGGACACAGGCTGAGTGGAGGAGGGATCAAAGCGAAGATCCTGGGGGGGAGGGGAGGGGTGCACTCACCAGCCCCACGCTGGGCGCTCGTGCTGCTCCAGGCCTGAGCGCCCGGCGGTTTAGCACTCTGCGAGGCCGCGACTCCAGGGGAGGGGAGGAGAGGGGGCGGAGCCCCAGGGGCGGGCGACCATTGGTCCGAAAGCCGAGCCCGCCCCTGAGTGGGAGGGACCGAGGGGACCCAGGCGTCTGGCCCCAAACTGCTGGGGGTGGGCCGCGAGCTCGGACCTATGCTCCCCACGTCTCTTAACTCCCAGGGACCTTCCCAGCCCGGTGTTTAAGGTGCTCGCAGCCCAGTTCTAACCTACCCCTCAGGTTCGTTCTCCTGCGGCCGACTTGGAGGTCTCTACTGCGACTAGGCGCGTCTGCTCCGCCTGAAATAGGCCACGTGCGCCCCAGTCCCGGCCTGGGCCTCTAGCTGGCGCCCCGCCTGGAAGGCGGACCCTGCTGCCTCCTCTTCTCTTCCCTTCCCTCATTTCTCCTCCCCTCCTCTTCCTTTCCCTCCCCTGCAGGCTTCGCCTTCCCTGTCTTTAGGCTTCTGGGAAATTTGCTTCTTGAATACATCCTTTCCAAATCACAGCCATCCAGGCTACCGCTGTCGTTTATTGTGTAATGTGCGCTTACTATGGGCCAGCGTTTTGCTAAACGTTTTAAACACTTGGTTTCATTTGATCTGCAGAACGACGGATCAAGGCCCCATTTTTATAGATGAGCGAATGAACTGTATAAAGTTCAGGGAGGTAAACTGATTTGCCTAAATTACAGAATAATTTTGCATCCCTGACAACCTGCAGCCTAGATGGGAAACAGTGGCCCACGGACCAAATCGAGTCTACAGAATTATCTTGGCCCTCAGGGTATTTTTACTTTTAAAAATTAGTTTATGTTGAAATGGCAAATTCTGTATTTTTATGTTTACCACAATTTAAAAAAAAAAGTTCAAAAAGGGACGAAAGATTTTACTTTAAAAAAATTTTGCAGCATTTAAAAAAATGAGATATGGGACTGTCAAATGGTACAACCATTGTGGAAAGCAGTATGGCGATTCCTTCAAAAGTTGGAAATACAAATACCATTTGACCCAGCCATCCCATTACTAGGTATATACCCTAAAGAAGTGAGAGCCATAACAAGAACAGATATATGCACGCCGATGTTCATCGCAGCACTATTTACAATAGCCAAAACTTGGAAACAACCTAGATGTCCAACAACTGAGGAATGGATAACCAAACTTTGATACATTCACACAATGGAATACTATGCAATGCTAAAGAATAATGTAGAATCTGCAAAACACCGCATAACGTGGATGAACTTGGAGGACATTATGCTGAGCGAAATAAGTCAGTCACAAAAAGACAAATATTGTATTAGTCCATTATTGTAAAAGTTAAGGAAAGGTTTATATATTGGAGGACATTTTCTTTGTTGGTTACCAGGGGTGGGAGGGGAGGGGAGGGAATGCTGTTAGATAGATAGAGATAAATACTGATTTGGGTGAAGAGAAGGGCAATGTACCAAATGTGAGTGACCAATATGGCAGCATTGAGGATGAGAAAGACATAGAGAGTTACATGGGCAGTACAGACAACAAATATGAACCCCTTTGCATATACAGTACTGAGTTGTCAGTGAAAGCAAACATGGGTATAGGGACGGATAGATAGTTGAACAAGCTAAACAATTATGTATGTCTAAATGGAGAGTGTATCCAAGATCATATATAGGGCTGGCAGACAATGGGCCTATAAGTTCATGTGAATGATCAGAATTCCCAGGTGTATAGTAGAGCTGACAAGGGGCAAGGTTATGGTCATTGCTTGGTCACAGCCAGCTACCCAGAGGGACCGAGTAGTTGATCCTGCAGGCTTGGGACCATAGTCGCAGGGGACATCAAGCTCAATTGGCATAACATACTATACAAAACATTGTTCCACCTACTACTTTGGCGAGTAGCGACTGGGACCTTAAAAGCTAGGAAGCTGCCATCTAGGTGCAACAACGGGTCTCTCCTCATCAAGAAGAAAGAAGAAAACCAAAATTAATGGAAACGATCAGTCCTAGCGACTGGTACACCATCCGATCTGCAACCTATACAACTATGAGACCAGAAGAACTAGATGGTGCCCAGCTACCACTGCCATCCACTTGGAAGGGATGTAGGAGATCCTGCATAAAGAGGGAGAACAATGTGGAACAAAACTCAAAATCATTTGGAGGAAAAAAAAAAAAAAAAAAAGAAGAAGGTGGGGACCAGGTTTGCTGGTCCAATGGAGCCTGGTGGAACCACTGAGACTATGGCCCCTAGTTGCCCTTCAGGTCTGGAACTGAACCCACAACTGTGGTTTCCAGCCAAACAAAGTACAGGCATGTGAGTTAAACATTTACCTCAAGTAGACACACGCCCTGGAGAGAACAATCATGGGGGAAGGAAGGGCTGCTTATGCACAGGGAGATAGCTCAGGGTGCAGAAGAGTATGGAGGGATGGACACTGGGAGGAGGTAACTATGGGGAGGAAGTGGGAGGGGAGCTGCTGCATTGTAAATTTTGGTCAATGACATGAGACAAAGTATATGTGAACTGCTGTATGAAAAGTGAATTTACTCTGTAAATCTTCACCCAAATCCTAAAAAAAAAAAAAAAGATTGGAAACCCAATGGGAGTCCCTATGAGTTGGAATAGAAAAAAAAAGATAATTTCATATAAAATATGTGTTTCCCACTTCTTTTGAAAAAACGTGCATGGATGGGCAACTAAGACTCGGAAATAATAAAAGAAGTAACAGTAAGTGCTTAAATCCATATAGGATCCCTATATGGTTGTGCAGTGGTTAAAGCACTGGGCTGCAAACCAAAACGTCGGCAGTTGAACCCACCAGCCGCTCTGAAGAAGAATAAAGATACGGCGGTCTGCTTTGGTAAAGATTTACAGCCTCAGAAACCCTGTGGGGCAGTTGTCTGTCCTAAAAGTTAGAATGGCAGTAGGTTTTGGTAAATAAATATATTGTCTCTCAATCTTTACAACAGCTGTTTGGGCTCAATATTATTTCCATTAACAAATGAGGAAATTAAAGCTCAGGTTAAGTAAGTTTCTCCAAGTCACACAGTTGGTAAGTAGATTTCAAAGCCAATTCTCTTTCTATTGAGCCAAATGACCTCAAAGCAATCGGGTGGCAGAGGAAATTGGTAGCAGAGCCGGGTCTCAAACCTGAGGGTCAGTCCAGGGAGCCCGGTGCATAATTTCAATGTTGGTATTACATTCAGCCGGATATTTGCTCTTCCCCAGAGCTGGGAGAAGGGGACAAATGCCTGGATACTCACACTCAAATCCCCAAAAACTACTCAAGTATTTGTCGAGTCCCGTTATGTGTCTGGCACCATTCTAGGTACTGGAGATGCAGTAGTTAACAAGACAGACAAAAATCTCAGCTCCTGTGCTACTTTTGTTAGGGTTGTTTTTAGTTGTCATTGAATTGATTCCGACTCATGGCAACCCCATGTGGTGCAGTGAGTTACTTAGTGTGGCTCTTCTAGCCCTGGTCTTTGTGGCACCCACCAGATGACTGGGTGGAACTATGCCAGTGTGAGGTGCTTGTGGCCCACCCAGGGGACTGGCTAGCTTGTTAAGTAATGTAAATAAGCTACATGGCACCTGTGGGAATGGGACCATGGAAATAAGGTGGATGGAACTCTAATTTGGGGATTGGTCAGTTTTGTCATTTCCCCAGGCTTAAAATGAGCCCTGGCACAGGCAGGAAGGGGGGATCTCACTGCCAAGAGAGAGAAGTGAGGAGTGGAGCATGTCTCTGGACCTGAGATCTCTGCACTGAGACGATGGCAGAGAGCATGGCATGTGAACCAAGAGACCATGGCGGAGAGCTTGGCACAAGAACCAAGAGACTGGCACAAGACAGAGCAGCAGGCTTGCCGACCCACAGAGCAAGAAAGGTGAGTGCCTTTGGGCTGGAAGCTTGCTGGTAGAGGGGGGTGCACTGAGGTGCACCTATTGGGCGGAGCTAAAAGAACTTTGGAACACTTGTGGGAACAGAGGAGAGGTCAGGCCTAGAGGCCAAGGCCCAAAAACAGGCGTGCCTTCAGACATGGCTACCAGGAGGCTGTCCTGATCGAAGAATTATGTCCTGAGTGTTCCTGAACCTGAATTGTAACCAGTTACTTCTCTAATAAACCATTGTCATGAATACTGTCTGTGAGTTCTGTATGGCCATTGCAATGAATTATCGAACCTAGCAGAGAAGTAGTGAGTGCTGTGGGAGGGATGGTTTCATCAGAACTGATAAAAAGGTTAGAGGGTGGTGGCATGTCTGACTTTCGCCTCATGGGAATCAGCCTTGGGCTGCTGATGGGCTGTCTCCCCCTCTTGAAGTTAGAGGAGGTCAGAAGCGGATACAGCTGCCCCTATGGCCTTTTTTGCAATAGAGTTTGCAAGGCTGTGACCTTTTGGAAACAGGTCACCAGCCCTGTCTTCCAAGGTGCTGTGTGTGTGTGTGAACCACCCTTTCTAATAAGTAGTCCAGGACCTAAATGTGCCACCCAGGGATTCCACTGGTATTTCTCAGGGTGTGAAATAATTTTTTTTTTTTAAGTGGATAACTAAATAAACAAGACACAGTGTGGAGTGGCTATAG